GTACGCTTGAGGTCTAGCTGCCATCTATGTTTGCAAACGTTCCCCATTTGAATTTCCTCAGAGTGTGTGTCTTATGCAGCAGCTTTTTTGGTATTTTATGTGTTCTCTTGTTATTCATGAAATCCATGTTGCGATTTCGAAAGGGCAGTAAAGAGATCAATTATAAGACTTTTTCTCCGGAGTAAGAAATCTGATGGTGGGCAATTTAAAGTGTTGTTAGAAAATTTACCATAATGAAAAGATTTTGGATGATTCTCTAACGCTGTTATCGTAGAGGATTCGAATATGGGTAATTCGCCTCCTCTGTTTCCTCCTCTGTTGGTTCATCACATAGTTTACTTGCTCCAAAGTTTGTGGATTTGCAGAATCTAGCATGCATTCTCCAACTCCATGTGGTTCATTGCATCTGTCACAAGTTTGCATGATGGAGTTCACAGATTTAGTGGTTAGCAAGTCGAGCTTCCTTACCATGTTGTCAACCTTTGCGTTGAGTGCAGTGATGGCATCAATTTCATAAATCCCAGCAGTTTTTCTTCTTTCAGAATTGCTTTGGTAATGGCTATTGCTTACCATTTCTTCTATTAAATCGTATGCCTCATCGATTTCCTTTCTTTCAAAAGATCCTCCTGCAGCTGCATCAAGAGTAATTTTAATGTTAGGTGACAAAGAGTAATTTTAAATGTTAGTGACAAAGAATTTATAGAAAGTCTGGAACTTGTAACGTGACCCAACTTAGGTAAATCTAATGGTGGGCACATTTTTTCTCAAATAAGTCCTTAAAATCCTGTTCTCCAAAGCTTAATAATAAGCTTTCTTGATCAATGATGAGCGAAGTCATGAATCTCATTCTTAATTTGGTAGTTTTTAGAAGATGGAAAAAAGAATTTGACATAAAAAATTTCTGGCTAACTCTTCCCAAGTTGTAAAACTTCCAGCGGGAACAAGATTGGTAACCCATGATCGTGCTTTGTCCTCTTTAAAGTAAAAAGGAAAGAGTCTTAATTTAAATGGCATCTTCAGAACACCATTTTGTTTAACAACATTTTGTTTAAAAGTATCACAAATCTCCAAGAAATTTGTGATGTGAGCATTCAGATCTTCATTAGGGAGTCCTCCATATTGAATAGAAGTGGAAAGCATTTGGATAATTGCTGGTTTGATTTCGAAATTATTTGCTTCCACTCTTGGCCTAGTGATGTTGGAGGTAGCTCCATTGAGAGAAGGCGTGGTGTAGTCTCGCAAAGTGCGGACATTTTGTTGTTGTATGATTTGAGGATTTGCAGCAAGAGGTATGTTCGGAAGTTGAGGATTAATGCCGTCCATGTTTGATTGTTGTTTGGATTTGTTTTCTTGTGCTTTCCTTGCTGCGTTGTTTCTTCTGCAGGTTTTCTCAATTTCTGGATCAAAGATCAGAGGTTCTGTTCTTCTAGATCTTCTTTGCATAAAAACTGAGATAGTCTACAGAAAAATCAAATGAATAAATACAAATGAATAAGTAAATGTCTAAATTAATAACAAGATAATTCGTATTGATATTGGTTTTGCCAATCCCCAGCAACGGCGCCAAAAACTTGACAGCTTATTTTCGCAAGTGTACGAATCGCTACAAGTAATATATGATGAGTAAGATATCATTCCCAAGATATCATTCCCATGAGGATTGTAATCCCAAGTACCAAATTAATGTTATATCCCTCGATATTTATTTAGACGATAATTTAAGAGAAATTGTTTTATAGAATGTATAAATAAAACAAGAGTCCAAGTTTAAACAGAAAATTGTTAAAAAGAAATCAAGGAATTGAAAACTACTTAGGGGGTTTTTTTGATTCCTGTCTTAATCCTATCCCAATTTAATTTCATTAGTTCATTGATCAATTTAATTATTCCAAAAGGAGAAATCAACTTCTGAATTCACTAACAAGCTTCTTCCGAATGTATTGCTAGCTATTTTAAATTCCCATTTAATTACCTATCCTTCCAATAGCGCATATCAAATATTGAATTAAATGCAATGTAAAGTTTATGTAGTTGATGGCTCGAACCGGGTTTTGGATCAGCCCGACTCGACTCTAAGCAACGCCTCGATTCAATAGAAAAATGGGACGTTACAGAGTATCATTCTCATGTGTTTTACCTTCTTCTCTTTTGTTTTCTTTGCATACCCCTCTTACCTCTTTCTGCTTCTATGTTTTCACAGGATCTGGAGATTGGGAGGCTACGGAGGCACCAGTCCCGCCAATCCAGCGCTGTTACTCGACTCTAGATGGAGGTCGATCGACTTCGGACTAGGCTAGAGGTGGAGGGGATTTCATTAGATTTCTCCGAGGATGAGGAGGATGATGATGATGGCTCCTCGTTTGATGATGCACCACCGTCTCCACCCTCTCAGGCAGCAGCTGGTCCTAGCCGGAGGCGACGTTAGCCAGCCTTCTCCGCTCTAACCACCTTTTTGGGACATTTTTGTAGCTTGTAGGAGTATATTTGATGGCTTCCTTTGAAACTTTGCACAACTCTTGAATACTTAACTTCTAAAAATAAACAATATACAAAGCTATAAAATGAGAGAAAGATATAGAATGGAATGTAGTGTGATGTGTGGGATGGATCCCTTTTGGAATGGCCTCTTCCCTTCTTTATATAGACTTCTTGGGGGGACAATCCATATGCTTTTTAATGAGTAAAGTCTAACTTTGTGAGGTGGAAAAGTTCTAAATCAAGCCATAAATTACTCTCAATTATGGCTTTCCAAGTGCATATGGTTGAAGTTTGACTGGCATGTGAAGAGAGAAGAGACTATCCGAAGTATCCTGTGAAAATGGTAGGAATTAGTTGGCAACTTTGGACTCAAATTCATGATTTCTTGATTGGCACGGGCGTGCTGCCTGGTACAGTCTGGGGCGTGGCAGGCTCTGGAAGTCTGGGGCTCCTAGCACGGGCTGTGTTGTTCCGCACGCTCTGGGGAGGTTCTAGAGCATGGGCATGCGCACTGGCACGGCCAGGGGCGTGCCCTCCTCTGGAAGTCTGTAGCATGTGTAGCACGGGCGTGCTTCAGTTGCACGGGCCAAGTTTCTATCTCCAGTGCGCGCACGGGCGTTCGCATTAGCACGGCCTGGGGCGTGCACCTCTCTGGAAGTCTGAGGCAATTGAGGCACCTGAGGCAATTGAGGCAGCGGGGGAATGCGGCTCAGCATGGGCTGGGGCGTGTTGGTGCCTCTTGACTCTTTGCTCTGAATTGCCCATTGCGGCATGTTGGCACGATCGTGCACCTTAGCAACGGGCTGAGCGTGCTAATCATTTTTGCTATAATTTTGTCCTTTTCTTGCAAAATCCTACACTTTCCATCAAAATCAAGTGAGTTTTGGTTTCAAGGAAGCTTTTTTAAGTAAAAACATTAATCTCAAATATTATATAAAAACTAATTTAGATAAATTTAAAAATGCTAAGAAATCTTAGTAAAATTATAATTAAAACACCTATAAAAAAATTAACACTTCATTCTTAAATAGCATTCGAGAAGCTAATAGTAAATAATTTACGGGAACTGGATACCGTATGAGATATTATCTCAATAGGTCAATCAAGACTTATGGATATCGTCGGAGGAGATAATACTACATCCTTACCACCCAGTTGGGGATGTGAAAGCTCTGAAAGAGGGGGAGACAAAATGCATGAAGGCGATGTAATGTGCTGACCCAGTTGGGGATGTGAAAGCTCTGAAAGAGGGGGAGACAAAATGCATGAAGGCGATGTATGTGCTGACGGTTGCAGTAGAAGATGAGCATATTACTCTTTAATCCTTAAGTTTATGATTACACAATATTTAGTTCCTTATTATTATAAATTAACCCTTTGATATTTATTTATTCTATCAATTATTATTATTTATTTTTTATAAAAAAATCATTATTATTATGTTATTGCCAAGTTAATATTTTCTTATTCTACAATAAAACTAAATTTTATAAACTTTTATGTTTTTTTTTTATTTGTGAATATTTCAAATTTTAAAAAAAAACCATAAATATGAAAGAAAATCAAATTGTACTAAAATATTTTATCTAATTATTAATTGTTTTTTTATAATTTTTTTATATTGTTAGTAATTTTATTTATATTTGTTAGTTATTTTATTTAATTATTTTTTATTGAAAATAAAATAATAATAAAATTATTCTTAGTAAATAGAACAAGTACCTACAATAAGAAGCTACACGTGTGCAAAAATATCTTTAAGGCTTTTGATTTTATTAGTTAAGAAAAAAAAAAAGAAAAAAAAAAGCATTTTACCAATAGAATTTGCTGACAGTCGGACTAGCATAGGTGAATATGGATGCATTAGCGACAACTACCAAGGAAATTTTATTACAAAAATTAGAAAAGACAGAATTTTTCCGACATCTTTCTATAGTCGGTATTCCGTTGGTAATTTGTTTTAGTGATTGATTTACCTCGTTTACCGATGAAAATTTTTGTTGTAAAAGACCATTTTTTTTGTAGTGAAAGGTAATCTAATTTGATTGGTCACATTGGTTCCCTATTGAATAATAAATAAAATAAAAATTATTATTATTATAAAAAAATTGTAATTATAAGTTTTTATTTAGGAAATTAATTGTATAATAAGAAAATTACTTTATTATTAAAATTTATTAAATAACATATTATATATGTAATTATATTAATATTACCATAAAGGTTGGGGAAATGTAAAAGATTTTATATTATATTTTGACAAACCTAAAGAATATAATATAGGTCCAAAACAACTTTTTTTCTTTGAAAATAAACAGCAGTCTTAGCTTATATTATTGGAATCAAAGCTAAACATATCATACAAAAAAGGAGGGTATACCCTGCACTTCAAGTCAGGCATAGAAACAGAGGCCCTAACTATAGTATGAGCAACCTGATCATCGTACAAAAGTGAAAAAACATTAATAAGCTCATCAAGAAGAGCTTTACAATCAAGAACTACTAGACTAAAATAGGACAAATCAATACGATCGGATTGTAATGCCTTGATCAACAACTGAAAAGGATTAAAGAAGCCAATAGAAACAATGCATAATTACGAAATAGGAGTGGAAAAATAGACTCATTCTCATCTTCGATATCAAAGATAGGTTACATATATACTCATTCTCATCTTCGATATCAAAGATAGGTTACATATATATACAGAAGAGCCCAGTAATGGATCGTCTGGAATCACTACATGACGCCCAATCTGCATCAGAAAAAGCTCTTAATTTCAAATCATTTGCTGCCGGCAGAAATAATCCTGTAAAACTGGTGCCTTTGAGGTATTTGACCACGGTGAGTGCAGCTTTCAGATGGGATTGGTGAGCAATTTGCATAAACTGACTGAGCTGTTGAACAGCATAACTGATATCTGGTCGTGTCATGGACGAATATAGAAGGCGGCCAACAAGACGACGATAACTTCCCGAGTCCTGTAATGGGTGCCCCATATCTGAGCCAAGCTTCAGTCCTTGGATATAAGGGCTGTCCGCAATTTTTGCATCCTGAAGACCAGTGTCCCGAATAATCTCAGAGATAAATTTATGTTGAGTCAAGAACGTCAAGAACATACGCATTGGCTGTCCGTGCAATCTCTTCAATACCCAAGAAATACTTTCACATCACCAGATTCTTTGATGGTTTACTTACTTATGTAAAGTGTGAACACGCCAAATTTTTGAAGGCTCGAAGAGCCCATTTTTTTCCCGGACTGCAAACAGCCCGGCGTACCAAAAGGCCCATTTGAAGTTCACCGAAAAAATATGCAATAGATGGTACTTGAAACGTCCGGGAAAGTCACGAGTGAATCGTGGGAACTGTCCGGAATTTTTTTCGGAGGTCCGGAGCTCTCGGCAAAGCCTCCGGAGCGAGTTTTTTGTCAAAACCAACCAGGCACGGCGGCCGCAGACTACCGGCCAACGCAGCGCCAAGCCCGCCCGGCTCGCGCGGACCCCACCGACCTCCGGCGGCGCCGGACCGTCGCCGCTGGCGGCTCACCGGACGGCTGCGGCCGCCGAAAATGTCCGTTTTTTGCCTATAAATTGGCCCCCGGGGCCTTCATTTTCAACTCACTCAAGTCCTGTGTTGAACCGGACGCGTCTTCTCCCTACTTACCGCTCTTTGGCGATTTTCTTTATGCTTTCTTGCATTTTTCAATTTTTAGTTTTATTCCTATATTTGTGATACTTGGTCACTTAAAATTAAATAAATTAATTCCCTTAACGAGGAGCTTAACCTGGAGTATTAAGAAGCGGTCGAATCGATTAAATCAGGTTACGTAAGTTTTCACTCCTACCTATAGCACTTCATGCATGCTTCTTTTCTACTCCTAATAATTCTACAACTGCATAAATGCATTCATACCGTCATATAGGCAAGAAAATTGCCTCAATTAAAATGTGATTAAGCTAAATGCCCGGTTAATTAATAATCGTGGTATTAAAGTTTAAATCCGACAATATTGGCTCAAAATATCTAGTCTCTCAATGGCTATGGTATGATTGCCTTTATTTCGAACAATTTTCGGCTTAAGTTCGAACAATTTTCGGCTTAAGTCCAATTAATCAATAATTGTGACTAACAAGCCTTAATTAATCACGTTCCTTTGGCATTAAATTGCCTACATTGTAGTTCATTTAATTACTTTAGGCAAACAGATTGCCTATAAGTAAGAATAACCAATTTTTCGGCAACATTTGCCTAAATTAAATCATGTTGGCTAAAAGCTATTAAAATCAACATTTTTGGCAACATTTGCCTAAATTAAATCATTTTGGCTAAAAGCCATTAAAATCAGCAATTTTTGGCAACAATTGCCTAAATCAATCTTTTTGGCTAAAAGCTATTAAAATCAACATTTTTGGCATCAAATGCCTAAAATCAAATCAATCGCTAAACAAATCAAATCATTTTTGCGAGCAAATCGCCCTGAAGGTGCAGAGACTAGAGCAACTTCTGCAGTCAGGATATTGAGGAATCAAATGCATTTTCATTAAGTTTCATACCTGCCTTCTAATCTCACAAAATCCTTCATTGGTCTAAAAGCCCTTCCCATTTCATTTTTGGCAAGCAAAATAAGGTCCATTTAAACACATACTTTGTTTGGCTTGAGCTATGCGAATCGAGGCGCACTAGGGACAGTGGTAGATTCGATCGACAAATTCCACTATACTGCAAGGCGTTCTGAGGGTAGTTGTATGTTTCTGGAGACATTACAAATAAACATATGGGGTACAGATAAATAAAAAGAAGAATGATCGCCAAAGAAGAAAAGCGCGGGAGTTATCGCAACGGAAGATGCATAGTGCGATCGCTTATAGGTAGCAAAAGAGAGCAGAGCCTGACGACGAACAAGATAATATGTTCGCATAATTACGTCACGCAGCAGCAGAATGAGCAGATGTAGGCGATGACACGCTACAGAGAACAGGCAGAAATATCAATAGTATAGGCGAGTACGTCGTAATGCCCAATAGGGACAGCACATAGACTGAGAACAGATACAAGGACATCCTCACCAAGAGAGCAAGATAGGAGAAGGTGTGCTACAGACATCATCATACGTGACTATATTCCATGGATGAGGGAGGAAACTGATACGCCCGTATAGAATGCTTGAACGTTTCGTGGCCGAATTCAAAGAGAGTAGGCCGAACAGAAGATATATAGACCGAGGATCAGCGTTTGCCGGATTTCAGCGCATAGAGAAGAGGGAGCATAGATTCACAAGCCTCGCTTTAACTCCGAACAGACGTCACTGGAGTTATTAATAAGTCGAGAGTGAAACCCACTATTCTTAACGCACGATTAAATTGCATACAAGGTGCAGTAGGACAAGAGCTAAAGCTGCGCTTTTTGAGAGTGGGAGAGAAGGAGAGCGTAACTTGACTAGCTACCATCAATATGGCACTATCTAATCATCATAGGCTTATAGGCTTTTACAAATCCAATCTTCGCAATGAGAGACATAAAGGAATTTAGCAGAAGGTCCGTAAGAGAGATAGCCATACGTACAGGGTCACCAGGAGCCATCCAGGAGTTTTTATATTGATGATTCGATGTATAACTTCTAGTCACTGCGATGGAAGTCGGTGTCCTAGTACAATTACATCACTATGAGGAGGTTATATACTGAGATAAAGAGATAACGGTCATTGAGCGGAATGTGTGGATGATGATGGCTTATTATCGGAAGAAGTTTAAATAGATGCTCTACGAGAGATCTAGATGACACTTGGATGCAGGTGCTATAGATAATAACGTTATGGGTATATGATTAGATTAGGAAGTAAGTGAAATCGGCGAGTCTGAACGTGAGAGCGGAAGCTAGTTTATTTAAGTTCCCACGCGTAGGTCGATGTATATTCTTCTCCGATTGAGACCTTCGGAAGACGAAGATTCGCCATTAAAGCATAGCTGTGGATGTTAAAAACAAGAGAGGATGCTGAGCCGAAGTCTCAAACACGCCACGATACATTATTCTAACGCTAGTAAGCATGTAGCTATCGCAATGTCTTTTTATTACTGTACGGCACGTGATAGAGGCACGAGATTAGTGATACAGATCTTCAGCATGGGCAAATATTAGTTAGGTTAGGCTAGGACTGACTCGAGAGAGATCGAGAGATTCAGAAGCAGCATATCGAGAGAGTGAAGAGTCGATAGTAACATGAGGAATGTCGCATCGCGAGAGGCGAATCGTGATCACATAATGAACGTACGAGCGCATATGCTGATGGTAGAAGTCGAGACGCTCAGAGCCACCCTGAACCTATAAAAATAGTGGGAGGCGGTATATACTAGGTAAGATGTCAACCTGCGGAGACAGCATACGCCGTACGTTCTCAGTACGAGAACATCGAAGAGTCGTTAGCCGATGGATCAATACACAACTACGAATGCTCTGTCATGGTGATCATATCACGAGTTACAGCCGGATGAGTACTAGGGATATAGGGAGTGCATGAGTGTAGAATGTCAGAGTAGGCTAGACATACTACGTCACGATCCATGAAGCTCAGCTGGTCAACAAGAGAAGTTGCGATAGGTACTCAGTCCACGCGATACTGCTTGTCATGCTAAGCATAACTGACACGTATACTGACTAACTAGCCATGAACGTCTCGATTAGGTCCATACTCATTGGCCGATCTCGATATAGCGCGTGATATATGATCTGAGAGTGGATGCATCAGAGTGACGATTTTAGCGCAACATATAGCCACAGACGCATAGACATAGATGTAAGTACCGAAACGAGCCGCGATGGACGCTGGCAGGGAGGTATGTTCGGACACTGACATCTACTATATGCGCGAGGGAATAAAAGCTGGTCGATGGAGGACTTATATCAGTGGCGAGCTACTACATAGCAGATCAGCGAATTTTTGCGGGATGACGATGACTCATCAGGGCTAACGAGAGTTGGGTACGGAGATGCACCAAGCGCAGTGAGAAGGCAGGAAGACGTCTTTTAGTTGAGGCGAATGTTGTAAATCGGTAGATCCACGGGACTGCGAAAAAATGACACTAGCCAGCTAAGGCATGCGCTACGTCTATGCGATACATAGGTCGTCGGGATCGATGCAATCAAGGACAACACATAGAAAAAAGGCTTGAAGATGCGAAATGATGAACTTATAGCTGAGGCTAGGTAGCGACAAACAGATGAACGCAATATGCAGAAGATAGAGGGATCAGCTTATTAGAGACAGTATAGCGAGTAAAGAGACAGATGAGCGCCGTAGACTACTGGATGTGCAGCTGCACAATGAACACAGTATTCCGAATACAGTGAGAGATGCGGTCAGACAGCGACAGTAACAGACGCGGATGACCGAATCGAGTACCGTGAAGTCAAGTTTCTACATAGCAGGTAATAGAAGGAACGGCGATGGGATGCGAAAGGATCTTAGTGTTATATAATGTTGCGTATAGATGACAGAGGATAAATACGTCTGGTGTAGATCTCACTCGGCCAGTCGATAAGTCGCCGCACGCAACGTCGCAGTGTCGTAGAGGTCCATTTACAACCAAAATAATCGACTGAGAGTGCTCAGTAGAGATAGCAACGTCAGCAACTTGTGGGTCACATCCAGCTACTGGCATGTAGTGAGAATAAGATAGCAACTGTGGCACTTGAGGATAAGATTATGCAGGTGGCGAGAAAGCGGCAACGCTAAGAGAGAAGAGAGTAGCAGCGTCGCGCTGATAGTAATCACTTATTGAAATGAGGTGTAATCCTTGCAGAGTACTCAGATGAGCAAGATAAGGCGCACCGATATGTAGATGACCGAGCGGAGATGTAGATGCGATTCGAGAGAGAGCATGGACCGGGAGGCGTCACGGTATGTGGGATCACGCGCGCGCAGTTCATATCAAGCTGATAATAAGATCTGAGTATGGACGAAGATATATCAATGAAGGAGCCGACACATTGGGATATTAAGATGCATGCGATCTGCATTGAGTCTGCGGGAGGATATAGTTGAAGTGCATGACAGTTGCAGCATCTACTGCACAAGTGAAAGAGATACTGATAGGATGAGAGGCGCGAATCAGAGCAAGATAGTATCGG